AAAAACGACAAAAATAATGCATTTCTCTGTTATTAAAACGTGAGAAGAGTTAAGATTTTTGTGAATAAAACTCGAGTTTAATTTAAGTGACATTTGCATGCGAGTCGCGGGCTTTAAATAGAAACTTCACTTTGAATATAAAGCATAACTATTAATAAACACACAAATACTTTGCAATCACTGCTATAAACAAAATAAACTTGATTTTGAAATTGAATGCAACAAATGGAAAACTAAATGCAAACAAATCATTAAAATCAATAAACTTAATATAATTGATGAGCAAAACAATTAACGAAATAGTAATCAAATCAATTCAATACCATATTAACCACTTCTGGGTATATGTTTTCGGTGATCACATTCCTCTGAGTCATGATATACTCGACGAGTTCGTGAAGGGCAGCCCTTTTCACTTCTTTCCATTTGAGATCACTTAACGGATCCGTGGCGAAGTCAAACAAAACACAGCATTGGTTTAGTTTTTGAATAAACAGTTCTTCGCGTTCAGAAGGGGTGGCGTCCTTAAGAGCGGGCAGTTTTTGAATTTCACGATTTTGGCTGATATTGAATCGGGACGACGACTGCCGGCGAGAAGTCTTCAGAGTCGGCGAAACGCCCGAAAACTTGGGCTTTTGGTTTGTTTGGTTGGTATTCATGAGACTGTTTGGACACACTTTCATAGTCTCGTTCACATAACTGTTGTTATTATTCCTCTTCTCCACCTATCATACCATTCATTAGATTAGATGCAAACATACCACTCATACAACACTTCAACTATCAATTCATTCAATGGTTAGGTCTCAACACGAACTCAACATATCATGCAAACAGTTAGTGATTAACTAAACATATGACACAAATGCGAGACCTAGTCATGAGTGGTCGGCCATATTGGTGGCCAAAGATGTCATGAATTGATAGTCAATTGGATTGATTGCAGTAATCATTGAATGCATACCTCATCCGTGGTATCATTGGTCTCCTTCTGGTTTTGGTCTCTAATGTTGTTTGAATTGTTTTTAACAGAAATCTGAACACAAATACAAAACACAAACAATTAATCAATTATTCAAACAAATGTTTCCTAAATATAATAGTTTTCAATGAAAAGACAATTTTGGGATCAATTCAGTGATATTTAGGTGCAGATTGAGACACATATTGTGGTGACAAATGGCCACAAATGACTCACTTTATCCTTTTTGGGTTTATTTGGCATTTTGTCGACAATTATCTGAACGATGAATACAATTAAGTGTTAATTGTTTGCATCAAAACATCAATACATTAGACATTATCAAATGGCCACAAATGACTCACTTTATCCTTTTTGGGTTTATTTGGCATTTTGTCGACAATTATCTGAACGATGAATACAATTAAGTGTTAATTGTTTGCATCAAAACATCAATACATTAGACATTAGACCACAACTCATGCAACACTGAAAGGCATATCAAACGCATTCACAGTCACATCAACACAAACGCACAGACATTACACTACATGAGTGCGAATGCCTGAGCTATGTACTCGTAAAAGGGATCATCTGTTCGCTGCTCAACACCACTACTCAACCCATCGTTTAATCCTTTCGTTTTATGCCCTTTTCATGCGTGAGTTGCAATGTATTCAATATCAGGTTATTCTGTGCACTCTAAACCACTTTTCTAATGCTATATCAATGCCATAGCGTTCACACCAATGATCATACCATACCATACCATACCAGTCCACTAGTCTAACATTCAATTATCCTATTATATTCAGTTAGACAACGAATGCCGGTCTAAATGAGCCGGCATTCAATCCAATGCATTACATTTGACTTAATTGTGTGCAATATCNAGACAACGAATGCCGGTCTAAATGAGCCGGCATTCAATCCAATGCATTACATTTGACTTAATTGTGTGCAATATCATGGTATATATTGCTTATTTCATAAATTTACTTAATACCCATACACTGTTCATACAGTACTAATGCATATTAATTAAACCCTAATTAACTTTATTAAGTAACATATGACCAGTTTATGTTTGATATAAATGGAGTTTTATTTAGTATATTGTTATCGCTCTTTCATATATTTAATTAAAAAATGAGCATTTATTCAGTGAATTATTCACAACTAGGATAGACTCATAACTCCGGTTATTAAACTCAAAAAAGTATTGATTTTTAAATACATTGTTTTAACATTAAATTCAAAAATTGAGAGTAAATCATTGTTTTTCATTCAGTGATTATGTTTTCCAAAAAATCAAATATTTGATCGTCAAATTAATAACGAATTCCTATTAATGACAAATAAAATGATGACCTGGAGTAAAATTACACTACACAGTAGATAAAATTACACATTCACTGAATGTGACATTCAGTGCTTTAAAATTAACTTCTATTATTTTTTTGTGAATATGAATATAATAATATAAATGTTCAGTGAATATATTGAGTATTAAAATTCTCTATAAAATATAACATAAGTATATATAAATATTAATATTTACCATTTTAAAACTAGCTAAATTTACAAAGCATTAAATATGCTTATTGAAAATTTTATTAATTATAAAGACATACATCACTGTAATAAAAATGATATTTAGGCAGGGTAACACTTAGTTCACATATATGATCAAATAAGTGGCGCACATATAAAAACAAAATATTTCTATCGTATCCATAGAAGTATACTATAATTCATTACTAAAGTGAGTAAATCAGAATATTCTTATGGGAATTGCCAGTGATTCACGCACTTCAAATATTGTTTTCATGTTACTCAATTTAATTTATATTGTAGAGAGCCTGGACAGATTTTGATAAACATAGACTGGTACACAAAATTAACAAAAACTCATTGCTTACGAGCTATTCAAAGTGCTAGACGGGAGTAATAATGGAAATAGAAATAGTTCATTAATTGTATTGGTGTTTGACGTAACAGTAATAAATGACACCTAAATATAGAAAATGTAAACTTTCCAGAATTGATCCATTTTTCCAATACAATGACTCTCTCTTTCTCACTGAACTTCAGTCTGTTTCGCAAGTATTCTAAAATTACTACACTTTCTATAAATAATGAAAAATATTTATCGATTCAAACAATTATTAAATGAGTATGATCACAATTGAATTCTACAAAACTTAACCATCATATTAATCAAGTTAAGAGAACATATTTTTGAAATATTTATTTTACCTATTATTCAAAACTATTGTATTGTTGCAAAACAGTTCTTAAGAACCATTTATTATCGTATCTAATGCCGAAAATTTGTTTTTAATTTATTACTATTTCCATTGTATTGTATCAGGAGTTTATAAAACACATTAATTATAGCTCAAGATAAATTATACTGACTTTTGTCGCATTTTCAAACAAATTATTGAGTTATAGCTTAAGATTAGATATAATTTCCAAATGATTACAATTTTATCTCCAATCTTCTTACCAAACATCATATATTTTTAATGAGTAAATATTAATTAAAATATATTTTAATGCTTTAATTGCAAAAAATCAATATTTGCTTTAATAGGAACAATATTTTCAAAGCTATCAGACTGTTGTGACTGATCAGTGATCACATAGCAATCACATTCACATTTCATTTGTATTTATATAACTTGTAATCACATGAGTTATATTCGGACTATTAAACAATAAAATAAACAATATCTCAAATTTTCCATAAATAATCAAATTGTATGTTTGAGTGACATTTAACTTGAGTTGTTTGCAAACTATTATATATTTTATCGTAGTATGAAATGAATCGCAAATTGCAATCATATTATGCGATGTCATAAAACTAATGATTTTTAAGTGATTCACAACCCATAACGTAATTTAAATATCCATACGTTATGTTTTTGGACCGATTCAACCGATTAGTGTTCAATACCTCAAGAATTTATGGATTTTAATGGTTTATTTAATTGTATCGTTGAGAGCAACCAGAAGTGTATTTATTTACCACTTGGAGGCTATTCAACCAAATACTCAAATTAGTAACACAACACTTCTCTTATATTAAATTCTGTAACTCTAATACAAATAAGACTTGCATTTGAATATAACTGTAATGTCAAAACCACTGAATAAGATTCTACACTGTATGCACTACATCTACACAAATACATACAGTGCATGCCTTATATAATTGCAAATATCATTTGGCCCTCAAATTATACATGTACGAGTATAATGAATATTAATTAAATAATTCTATATTATATTTAGACTGGTAAAAATAAAAGCTCATGATTATGGTAATGTATCATAACTTATGGATACTGTTAAGCATAAGACTGGTTTCACGCAATAATATAAACTTTATAGATATTTACAAGTTAGGCGATTAAAATGATAGTTTCATTGAAAGTGAGACAATAAATGAAATAATAATAAGACAAACCTCTGATGAATTGAATTCCATAATTAGTTTGAAACACAAATATTTGATTAAATAAATTAAATAATCAGTCAATCATGAGATTTATAATTCCATTAAAATGTTGTTTTTATGATAAATCAAAATGCGCTGCAATATTGTTATCGTAAACACTTAATATGTTTACGAAAATAATTGTAATTAACTCGTCTCTAATTTCCATACAAATGGATTGAGTGCTAAGAATTAAATGAATATGTCAAATATCAAACCTAAACCTCATTTGAAAAGTAAATCGCAAAATGTCTCAAAACTCTTAAAACTAATAAATAGTTGTAATCATTTTGACGTCAAATTATTATCAATTTTTGTTTATATAAAAATTAGTGCACTTTTTACGACTAAAATTTTTTGAAAAGTAAATCGCAAAATGTCTCAAAACTCTTAAAACTAATAAATAGTTGTAATCATTTTGACGTCAAATTATTATCAATTTTTGTTTATATAAAAATTAGTGCACTTTTTACGACTAAAATTTCATTCCACACTACTATCCAATTAAATAGTCTTTGGATAATAAGTAAAGAATTTCATAATTTATTCGTCAATCATTGAAAACATTACTGTATATAAAGATATGTTTCATTTAGAAATCAAAATAAAGAGTAAAATATTTCAATTTAAGAAAAGTTTGTTGAATAAACAGTCAAAACAATCAAATGTAACAATCAACTGGTGGGGTTGGGCTCATCACTGGTTGCAAAGTGTCGTTCACTGATGTGTCGTTCACTCGCTTTCCATTTCAATTGATGCGGTTGTGGTAATGCAGTGATGGACTGGGGGTGGATGTATGGACAGTCACGGGAATGACATTTCGCACCAAATCGACACACCTTTAGTTCAATAATAAATGTTATCTTCGATCGTGAAATTAAATTTAAATTAACGTTCAATCGGACATACCTTGGGATGAATGTAAGGACAGTTCATATTCTTACAGTTGGACTGAAATTTGCATTGTTTAACAGAACCCATGGGTAATGTGTTGCTCGCATAAGCCGGCGCCGGAATCATACGTTTACTCGCGTGAGTGAAGGGACAGTCTCTTCGTGAGCACATGGCGTCAAACTTGCAGTCTGTGAGTCAATGGAAATTAAATTAAAATTAAAACAATAAACATTAAAAAATAACAATAAAATTTAACACTAGTAAATTCACCTGGATGTATGTATAGGCATTTGTCACCAAAACGACAGTTTGGAAAAGTTCTTTGAAAACAAATTTAAAATGAGTTCTAATATGAACTGGTCATAGTCATCACGTGGACAGACATACTTGCAGGGTTGACAGGGATGGCTGAAAGGGCACGAATCGCCATTCTTACAGGACGGCCAGAAACGGCACCTCTCGTTCACTTTGTTGGCGCTCAACACATCGTTTTCTAAATCATTGTCACCCATGTCTGCACTTTCGTCAAACTCGGTCTCCATGTCTTCGTCCAGAAGTGTCGGGTCGTCCACTGAGACATCAAATTCATATAACTCTTCAAAATTAAAGCCCAATTCAGACCATTACTTACTTTCACTCTCCTGTGAGTACTTGTTATGGTCGACGCCATCCAAAGTGACCACAAACTGTGGGTTCCTTTCAATGATCTTCGACTTCACAAATCTATTAGTTTTGGGCAATTCCTCCGATTCGTCATCTGTTTTATCCGAATCTAATCAATACATCAATTCATGAAAACCTCATAAAACATCTCAAGAATTAAATAATAATCATTTAAATAAGTTTTAAAAATATTTTGTATGAATTAAATACAAAAGCGATCCAATGTTCTCGAGTCATAAGGCCTACCAGTTTTAACAACATTCAAGTAATTCCTCAAATCCTGAGGATCTAAATCTGGTTGCACTTCATCG